TAATAAAAACCACTATTTTATTATTCCTTTTTTTTTCAATTCAACATTTTTCTACCTATTATCGCTTCACATTCTTTGTTAGTATTTTGATAATATAATCTTCAAAACATCTCAGAAATTAAATCAGAGTATCAGTACGAGATAGAATGGACCTTTAAATCTATGACAGTTCTCAAAATGTGCTGACAGTCTTTGAGACCCTGTCATCGGACCCAGGAGTTCAAAACATTTTCATGAAAAATGTTACTTGCTTTATTCATTCTCTGTCACAAGTATACAGTGGAATTTTTGAGAGGCTCTTTGACATGTGACAATGTTACAGATTGAATGCAGATTTATAATAGATTTACAAAAAGGTAAAGCAATACCAATGTCTTTACTAAATTTTTATTTGGAAATATAGTAATTTTTCATTAAAATATGCACTTATGTTAAAATTTAATGGATTTATTAGTCACTTTTAAGGAATGTATTTTTCATAGCTTATTAGTTTTCATTTCTAATAGAGTAACCTATAGATATAATCAACAAGAAAAAACTTTTGGGGGTCTTTGGATTTTAAATGTGTAAAGGAGTTCTGAGAACAAAAAGTTTGAGAACTTTTTTTTTAAATATTTTATTGGGGAATAGGGGAAGGGGAACAGTGTTGGGGAATTGGGCAACGGGAACAGCCAAGTTGTTGTCCTTCAGTCTTAGTTGTGGAGGGCACAGCTAGCTCTGCTCCAAGTCCAGTTACCATCCAGCTGCCCGACGGCAGCTCCCGGCCGCTCAGCTCAAGGTGCCATGTTCAGTCTTAGTTGTGGGGGGGCATAGCCTACCATCCCATGTGGGAGTTGAACCGACAACCTTGTTATTAGGAGTACGTCCTCTCACCAGCTGAGCCATCCTGCCACCTGTTCGCAGCTCAGCGGCAGCTCAGCTAGGATGCAGCTCACTGGCCCGTGTGGGAATCGAACCGGCAACCCTGTTGCTCAGAGCTTTTGCTCTTAACCAACTGAGCCACTCAGCCAGCCCAAGAACTTCTTGATGTAGGCCAATTATTTTCAAATTATGTGTCATGGAGCCCTAAGTTTCTCTGGTGGTGTGTCAGCCTATGAGGAAAGAGAATGAGCAGGTGGTTAAAACAGGCAGGCTCTGGGTCTCCTGCATGTATCTCCCTTCTCGAAATCAGAGTGGTTTTACTGTTACCTGCTTTATATATCAATTTTCATGTAAGATCTCAATTTAGAAACAGGTTCCTCTTACAATTTAAAAACCATTCATTCATTTGTTCACTCTATATTTCCTCCAAGTGTTTGTTACATAGGATTGTGCTAGTCACTAGGAATATAACTGTGAATAAAGAAAAATACATTCCCTGCCTTTGTAAATTTTACTTCCTCTGGGGAAACAAAATCACACAGATAAATGTAAAATTACAACTTTATTAAAAGGAGATACCTAGTTTTATGAGACTGTATAATAGGAGTATTTAACATAGAAGGTCAAGGATGCTTCTTCAGGTTAGGATAATTGAGTTCCTAAAGGAAATACAGACACTAACTAGGGGAAATAAAGCGGGCAGTTAGAGGAATAAAACTAGTGAATGTGGGGAGAGCAATTCAGAACTAATTACAGTTATCAAGAATTAGAAGTAGCATGTCCAAGATAGTAGCCATGAAGATTCAGAGAAATAAACAGATATAACAGATGATCAGAGAATAAAAGCAATAGGACTTTGGTAATAATCCCACACAGACACTCCCTTCCCTGCCACACACACACACACACACACACACACACACACACACACACACACACACACCCAAGGGTGACACTATCCTGGCTTCTCAGAGCAAAGGTTAGTTTTGCCTTACATGGATATATTTAAGGGAATCAATGTCTAGCTCCTCAGCTTTCACAGGTACCCTTCCCAAGTGATCTGCCTGAGAACAGTACACTTTACAAAAGAAAGGCTTACTTTCACCCAAGCAAAACCTTACTATTCTCCTGAGTATCAAAGAGATCAACTGAATTCTGGTTTTGGGCAAGTCCCCTATAGTGAATAATCAAGACACTTCCAATCTGTCTTACCTCATTTTATGCTTATTTTTGTAAAGGCTGAAGTTGAGAGTTAGAAACAGGACATTTTGGCCTATGTTGGGATATTCTGAATTCCAAACAGATGCCATATAAATTATGACCTTGATTCTTTTAAAAGCAACTTGAGTATTATGCAGGAATTCTAAACTTTTCAAGAGATGTTGGATAAAATTTACAAGACTTATTCAGTAAAGTGCTTCAACTTAGTTTTATCAAATCTTATATTTTCCAGGCTGTTTAATCACACTGATTCTGGCACTCTGGACAGCAGCTGGGGTTGTAGTCATCATAATGCTTTGGAGCTATCCAGTTTTGTCTGTAAGTCTTGCAAAGTCTCTTGTAGTTTCTGCATTGTGATCTTGCTGTCGCTAGTGGCTTTACCCAAAGATTGTATTATATTAAAATAAACGGAGCTAGTTTTGAATCTGGGGTAGAGCTTCCACTTGGTTTGCTTACAGATGGAGCCAAGTTAAGTAGGTGAAAAGGTACAAGTCAAGGCTTAGACCCCCTTCTGCTTCCTTGTTTATTTTCGCCAAATAGAGACAATATAATTAAATGACACCAATAGTATGGTTAGTTGAGTGTTTGAAGTGGGAGGGACACATATAAACCTTTTTAAGAGAGAGCATTAAGATTGCTTCGCATTTCAGTTCTTAAAAGAAAAAAATGTGCAAGACAGTATGTAGTTGTAAAAGATTCTTTTAGGACTATACAAGCAATAAAGGTAGAAATTACACATCTAGAATATGCTAGTGGGAGTGGATGGCTGTAGTTGTATGGAAAACAAGTTCATTGGAGGAGGGGTCAGGGGACTGAATATTGGAAGGATTATCTACTTGGATACTGATATCACCAAGAATCATGATAGGAAGAGTGCTGAAAAGTCAAGCAGAAAGTCCAGTGCTAAAATCTTCAAGGAATCAGGACTGATCCAAGGTCTATAGATGACTGCAAAAGATAGGGTAGCATGTGGAATACACTGTCAGAATAAGCTTTCAAAAAATGGGAGAGTTTTAGGAGAGATAGCCTGGCAGCCAAAATGAGAAACTGGGAAGAAGCTCATTCTATACTGACATTCTTTGGTTATATAGTCTGGAAAAGAAAACAGCTTCCATTTAAAAGGGCAATGGGAGGGTCAGTGCCATTGAGGAGGTGCCAGGTTCAGAGAAAAGGTTGAAGTTTTTGCTGATGATGGCCCTTGAGTTTAGGAGGTTCGGGACATGAGGAAGGGTGTGATATTGAATCAGTTTAAGGGGGTGGTTGAGTGATGACCTGAGGTCTTGGATTTCTGGTGGATGCTGATATAAACAGGTATAGGACATGACAGGATTTATCGTAATAGTCTCTAAGGCCAATTATCATAGCAAAGCCATGAGTGTAGGGAGAGAGTAAAAAGGTGGGATTGAGGGAGCCTTGGAAAAAACATGCAGATGTCAATTGGTCTTCCTCTCAAACATTATAGTGCTTCTGATGCCAACAAAGTGTTGATATTACTGCGGGGAAGTGGAGGGGGCTCTATGGGTATCCCCGTACAATTCTGTAGATACTCTTCTCTTACATCTCAATAAAATAACAATAAAAACCTCTCTGTCTCACTCCAGACCCTATCCCACTCAAGTTACTGCCCCATTTCTCTGCTCCCATTCATTGTAAAACTCTAAAGAGTTGCTTATACTTTGGCTCTCCTTTTTACCCCCAATTCTTTTCCTTAACTACTCCAATTGGGTTTTCTTCCTCATTACTCCACCAAAATATCTTTCATCAAGTTCACCATTGAATCCTTTTTGCCAAAATTTTCAATTCTCTGTCCCATGGTTTGACTTATTAGAATTGGACACCACTGAGCCATCACATGGTTTTCTTCTTTCACTGGATGCTCCTTCTCAGTCTTCTCTGTTGATTCCTCTCTCTGAACCAGAGCTCTAAATATTGCAGTACCCCAGGTCTCAGTCCTGGGATTTATTTGTCTTTACTATCTCTTTAAGTGATCTTATCCAGTCCCAAAGATTCAAATACTATCTATATTCTGTTGGCTTTAAATTTATATCTACCTTTATGATGGAACTTTAGTTCCATACATATCTATTCAACTACCTACTCAAGAGCTCCAGTGAGATGTCTAATAGGCACCTCAAAATCATCGTAGCCAACACAAGTATCATTTTTCCTCTGTGGCAATGACTACAGCTGACCCCTAATTCTGTTTAGTAATAGAATTCCCAAATTTCAGCTGGGAAGATATTTCCCAGAATGAAGACTATATCGTCTAGCCCCTTTTGGGTATGGTCATATGGCTAAGTTCTGGCTAAGGGGGTGTGAATGGAAGGGATATGTACAACTTCGAGGATGAACCCTTAAATGAAGAGGAGGTCCTCCAATATTTCCTTTCCCTCCTCCCCTATGACTGGAACACTGATTCAATGGCTGTTGCGGTGAACTATCTTTGAACATGCAGACGAGAACATTGGGTGGGCCACAGACCAGCAGTTTGAGAAGCACTGTCTTAGGGGTCAGTGGAGCAATAAGCCAGAGTCTGAGTTATGAATACCTGAAGCAAGAATTTCAACTCTAGACTGCTTATATTCTTGAACTGGAACATGAAAGAGAACTGAAGTCTATCTGGATTAAGCCACTGCAGTCTATTCCAGCAAGTTAACCTGTATCCTAACTAATATTATTGGGTTGTTGGAAAAGTCATGACATATTTTGTCTATGTTTTTCAAAGATCATTTATTTATACAAAGAACAAAGACCAATCAATGATATATTGCCCATTTTGTTCGATAACCTTTGCCATCTTTCAGTGAGCTTCGTAATTCCTCATTCATAGGAGGACCTGTCTTTATCGGTGAAAAACTGAACAAGGTGCTGATTTACAGCCTCATCTGAATTGAACGTTATACCACGTAAGGAGTTTTGAAGAGAGCGAAACAAGTGGAAGTCTGATGGCACAAGGTCAGGCAAGTATGGTGGATGTGGCAACACATCCCATCCAAGCTCCAATAATTTTTGACGGGTGGTCAAACTTGTGTGTGGTCTCACATTGTCGCGATACAACACAACTCCTTTACCGTTAACAAGCTCTGGACATTTCTGGATGATGGATTCGTTCAAACTGTCCAATTGCCAACAGTACACATTCAAATTGATGGTTTGGTTCCTTGGTAGGAGCTCAAAAAACACGAAACCTTTAAAATCCCACCAGACTGAGAGCATAACCTTCCTCTGATGAATGTCTGCTTTCGATGTCGTTTGAGGCGAATCATCACGTCGGGACCAAGACCGTTTGCACACCACATTGTTGTAAACAATCCACTTCTCATCACCAATTATCAATCATTTCAAAAAAGGATCATTTTCCTCACGTTTAATGAGCATATTGCAGATGTTTATATGCACCGTCAAATGAACTTCTTTGAGTTCATGTGGAACCCAAATATTGAGCTTGCTTAGGTATCCCAGCTTCTTCAGGTGGTCGTGAATGCTTGAATGATGGATGTTCAATGTTGTTGCAATCTCTCATGTCATGTAACATGGGTTTGACTTGATCAATGCCTTTATTTTGTCGTCATCAACCTCGGTGGGCCTCCCTGACCGAGGAGCGTCGTTGAGGTAAAAATCACCAGCATGGAATTTCGTGACATATGGTTGGCACTGACATTCTTGTAGAGCATTGTCACCATAAACTTTATGCAACTTTTCACAAGCTTGACATGTGTTCTTCCCTTTATGAAAGTAAAACAGTAAAATATGGCAAAAATGCAGTTTGGTCGTCCATCTTCAACTTGTAAAATCTCATAAACTCAACCAAATCGCTCAATTTTTTTTTATAATGAAGCTAGAACTGTCAGCTGTCAAATGACATAGCAGTAACATAGATGCGAATGACTCGAGTATTTCCAAAAATGAACTAGTGCCATCTGTCGCAAACATGCGTCATGACTTTTCCGACAACCCAATAGCTCCTAATCTACTTCTTCTGAACCTTCACTTCCCTTACCATAAAACTTTCCCATCTCAATTTATATCACCAACCACCCAGTTGCTCAGGCCCCAAAACTAAATGTCATTTTTGTTTTCTGTCTTCTCTCTCATTTGTTGCCTGGTCATCATGTGGCCTATTGGCTTTACTTCAAAAATAAATCCCAAAACTTATCTCTTCTTATAATTCACACGGCCACAACCGCAGTCAAAGCTATAAGCATCTCTTATATGGACTCCTATGGCGTACTAGCTTCCTGCCTCCCTTCTTGATACACAGTCATCTTCCACATAGCAGCCGGAGTAAGATTATAGAATCATAAGTCAGGTTACTCACTTAGTAGCTGTCTGGGTTATCAGATTAACTGTCGGTATCAAAGTGCTTGCGTTCGAGTAACCCTTATTTTACTTAATAATGGCCCCAAAGCACAAGAGTAGTTATGTTAATAATTTGGATATGCCAAAGAGGAGATGTAAAGAGCTCCTTTTAAGTGAAAAGCATCTATGAAGATAGTCATATAATTTTTAAAGGGTTCTAGTCAAGATGATGGTGTAGGTAAACACTGCTCTCCTCCCATGACCACATCAAAATTACAACTAAATAACAGAACAACCAACCTGGAGAACCATCAGAAGACTAGCTGAACAGAACTACTATAACTCAGGATATAAAGAAGCCATGTGGAGATGAGTAGGGGGAGTGGAGACATGAAATGGGCTGGCCCCACACCCACATGTGGGGGTTGAGAGTGAGGAGGGATATCTCAGCTGCAGAGGTCCCCCTTGAAGAGCAAGGGTCCCAGTCCCACACCCAGCTCCCCAGCCCAGAGCTCCAGTGCCGGGAAGAGGAATCACCATAAGAGCTGGCTGTGAAAATCAGCGGTACTGTGTCCAATCCTGGTGAGACAGAGGGTTTCTAGAAACCCAGACATTGTCTCAAAGGCCCCATGCACAGACTCACTCACAAACACTCATCTTAAGCTCCAGTGAAGGGACAGAGCTCAAAAGGTGCCAGAGACATACGGACACCTATCCATGAGCATGGTACCTCCTTCCATTTATTTGTTGGGATTGCAAATTGGTATAGCCACTATGGAAAACAGTATGGAGGTCCCTCAAAAAATTAAAAATAGAACTACCTTATGTCCCAGCAATTCCACTTCTGGGTATTCATTCGAAGAAATCCAAACACTAACTCAAAAAGACATATGCATCCCTATATTCATTGTAGCATGATTTCCAATAGCCAAGATATGGAAGCAACCTAAGTGCACACCAATAGACAATTGAATAAAGATGTGGTACATATACACAATGGAATATTACTTGACCATCAAAACGAATGAAATCTTACCATTTGGACAACATGGATGAACCTAGAGGGTATTATGCTAAGTGAAATGAATCTAAGAAAGCCAAATACCATATGTGGACTATAAGGAACAAAAAAATGAACAAAGAAAACAAACAGAGTCATAAATACAGAGAAGAAACTGATGGTTGCCAGGTGGGAGGAGAGTTGAGGGGCTGGGTGAAAAAGGTGAAGGGATTAAGAAGTGTAAATTGAGGGCCGGCCGAGTGGCGCGATGGTTAAGAACTCGCTTGGGATGCCAGAGGGCCCCGGTTCGGATCCCACATATGAGGGCCAGTGACACTGCCCTCCACAGCTAAGATGCTGAACAACAGCTCAACCTGGAGCTGGGCTGCCGTGAGTCGCCGGCGACGGCGTGGGCTGCAGTCCCTGTGGCAGTGGATTGCCATGGGCTACCGTGTGTGGCCAGCAGCCAGCGTGAGCGGCCAGCAGCCGCAGTGAGCGGCCAGCAGCCGCAGTGAGCGGCCGTCCAGAAGCCGGCGACTGATCTGCCTCGCCAGAGAAGAGCGCAATGATGGTGCCAACTTGGGCCAGTGAAGCAACATCCTCCACAACTAGATTGAAGAACAAAAGGACAGCAACTTGTCTGTTCCCCTTTCCCCAATTCCCCAGCACTGTTCCCATCCCCCCAATTCCCCAATAAAAAAATCTTTAAAAAAAAAAAAAGAAGTGTAAATTGAGGGCCGGCCGAGTGGCTCATTGGTTAAGAGTTTGCTTGGGATGGCGAGCTCTGAGCAGCAGGGCCGCCGGTTTGGATCCCACGTTGGCCAGTGACACTGCCCTCTACAGCTAAGATGGTGAACAACAGCTCGACCTGGAGCTGGGCTGCTGTGAGTCGCCAGCAACAGGATAGGCTGCAGTGGCTGCCCTGAGCTGCCATGAGTGGCTGGCAGCCAGTGTGAGCGGCGGGAGGCGTGAGCCGCCGTGAGCCCCCATGAGCGGCCATCCGATGGCCGGTGACCGATCTGCCTCAGCCGGGAAGAGTACAATGATCACAATACCAACATAGGCCAGTGAAGCGATGTCCTCCACAACTAGACTGAAGAACAAAAAGGACAGCAACTGTCTGTTCCCCTTCCCCGATTCCCCAATGCTGTTTCCTCCCCCAATTCCCCAATAAAATCTTTAAAAAAAAAAAAGTATAAATTGACAATTACAAAATAGTCATGGGATGTAAAGTACAGCACAGCAAATATTGTCAATAGTATTGTAATAACTATATAGTGCCAGGTGGGTACTAGACTTATTGGGGAGATCACTTCACAAATTTTATAAAAGTCTAACCACTATGCCGTACTCCTGAAAGTAATATAAAATAATATTGAATGTCAACTATAATTGAAAATAATCATTAAAAAATCATAATCAAATCATATATCTCCCACCTCCTATCCCACTGGCTTTTATACTGTTAATAAAATCCCAAATCCTTATTTTGGATTCCAAGATCCTACAAGATTTAGACCTTGTTTTTGATCTCATACTGGTCATTTGGCCTTATTCTGGTCCTTTGAAAATGGCAAATCTGTTTCAATCTCAGGGCCTTTGTACTTTTTTTCTCTTGGAAAACTGCCCAGATGTTTGCATAGCTGCATCATTCAGGTCTCAACTCAGATCTCTTCAGAAAGCTCTTTCATCATGATTGAAGGTATTTTAATTTCTCTGTAGCAATTAGCAATATTATATATTATAATATTATATATATATTATATTAACATAATATTTATCCAGTTCCTTGCAAAGTAGTATCCCACCTGTATTCCTTATGATAGTGCTGTTTTTGTTTCCTTGGACTGTTTTTTTTTAACATTTAATTCCCTACCTATATATAGTATGAAAGTATTTTTTCTTTGTTTGTGTTTGTCTTTCATCTTTAGAACTAAACACAAGGTTTAGCATTCTTTATGGTCACTGGTTATCACCCTCAGCTATTGGAAATCACCTATAGATGCGTTGGCCAAACTCCATCCAAACTCACCCCATACAGATGTTTACAAGAGGTGCAATGTGAGACAAAACTAAAATGTAGTTTTTAAGGCTGTTAGATAAAAATGAAGGCTAAGAACATTTGCAAGGATATAAATCTTAACACATTTGTTGGGGGGTGTAGGTTATTAGATTTACATCTGTTCTATATGTTATAATACAAAATTGTACTTGCTGGATTAATTGTAAGGAATCCTCATTAAGACATTCAGATATCCAAAGTTTAATGTTTATATACTAATTAGTTGTCAGGGAAAGCTACATTCAGGCCAGGGTCTGTAATGCCTTTTGTATTTAAAGCTCTTCTTCCTTTGGCCAGAATTACTGAGTGACTATATAGTGTATTTTTCCTTAAAAACAACATAAGAGACTTACTCCATAATGCTGAATCTGCTATGTGGTATTTGTACTCTTTAAATAATTCTGCTCAGTTTTTCAAGACAAATAGAAACAATGCAATTGAAATCCATTAATTATCAAGACATAGCCTGAATGTCTGAGGTTATAGCAGTATAGGACCAGATATTTAAGA